TCCCGAGGGCGCGTTGGAGACCACGTCCCGTCTCGCGCCGACTTCCGACGCAGCCGCCTCTCGGCATAGCGCCGCTCTGGTTAATTTATCGGGATAGAAAAGTTAGTCGGATGGCATTATGCCCCCCGGCGGCCGCGGCGGCTAAAATGATTGGTGCGTTCGGCGCCTCTCCGCCTGCCCCCCCCCCCTCCCTTCCGCGCGGCTCGTGCGAGTGTAGGACACTTGGCGGTTGGCGGTAGACAAATTTGTGACGAGTAGGATAGGTGCACTGTGTGCAGCGAGAAAAATCTTTGGCTACCAGCAGTTTGTCTGATGCGTCACACTTTGTCCCCGTTGAAAAACGTTTAGTTCTGGCGGCCAATAAAAGTTCTGAGGTGTAGCAGTAGAGGGGTTTAGCGCCGGGCGCCTAACACGTCTTGTCCTAGGCTACGGTACCATTCACTTTGTTTGATGCACGAAGTATATCTGATTGAGTAGTTCGGGTGTCACAACACATCGAAATGTCTTCCTTGCATCTCGCTGGGTGCCCCGGGCCCCGAGTGCTCAAAGCGTTTAGTTAAAGGCGCATATTGTTGTTGTGGCGCCTTGCCGCCATTTGATATTTCGGCTCTGATTTTTGATAGGAAAAGTGCTAGAGGTCATTCCACCCATGATCAACACCTCTACCTCTTCTATACCACTTTCTCCTTACAGAGTTTTGACAAAATCCAATAACGTAGGAGAGCAAACAAATATTGCCCTAGTCAACGCATCCAGTTTAGGTTCCGGAAAAAAAGGTTCATTTAATGCCTGAGCATGCATATTCTTTAGCACCAAAGCCTGTTCTACTTAGTGCCTGGCACCAAAGCCGGCGCACTAGACCCCTTTTGCCCTAGGAGCTAAACACTATAGTGCGTGGATAAACTTTCGGCCTATGCACTAAACGATAGGTGTCTATTGCCAAATATTTTTCTCAGTGCGCCTTCCTACGAGAGACGAACAAGGACATTCGAAAATATTCAGAAAAAAAGAGGGAGAAATAGAGGACGACACGACGCCACACTAAGGGCGAGGCGCAACGGAAAATGTTGCCGAACTTTAGCGTTGGCAATATCAACGCTTTGCTAGCGCGCGTGGGGGGTCGTCTCACTTCACGATGACGATGTTTACGCACGGAGTTCCCTCGATATACAGAGATTTCACTTTGGGAGTAGTTGTGTCGAGACCAGGCCGGAGAGCCGAAGGCCGGAACCTCGTATTCCACCCCCGCAGTCTCTTACTTGAAATAACCAATCTAAACAAAACTTTTTACCAGAAGAAAAAAAAAGAAGAGGAGAAAAGACGACACGTAAAAATACATTTATCACGATTTCAATTACGTCGATTTCGTGGAAACTGGCTAATGCCATTTAAATATTTGGGCAATCATTTAAAAAATGTTGTCCCCAGAGAAAATACTACCCGACTCTCCTTAACCCATCCAAGGCCAGGCCAGGGCCTGGCCAGTGGCGGCGAGCGAGACAGACAGACGATTCCTCAGTATAGGGGAAGGGTTTATAGCCCTGAATACTTGTTGAATGCGAAGCAGTCGCCTTTATATCTTTCAATCTCCCGTGTCCAAGTGGTCGACATCATCTTCCCACCCCTCCCACACCCACCACCTACTGTACCACAGAGATTGGTACACACAACAATGTCCAGACATTTTCTCAACGTAAACCGGCCATCTGCACTAATAAATTATACAGACCAAAATTGCGAAGACTTGGGGTAGACGTGGTCAGCCTCGAGGCAGGCGGGCTCCAACCGACGAGTCCACCCACGAGCAACTTTTGGGCTGCATCAATAACAGCAAAATCTGATGTGATGGGTGATGCGTTCCAGGTTTCATTGGAGGGCCACCTAAAAAAAGACAGTAAAGACAGATTTCGTTTATCCTTTTCACAGAGGGTCTAGTTCTGTTCACTTTTTGGAAATTACCGAGTGGAACAATATGTTATACAAGAAAGAATATGTTATGACAGCAGCAAGACTGCGAGTGTAAACAGAAAACACAAAACTCAACTCACCCATCAACACCCATCACATTTATAATTTTTCGGCCTAAGTCCATCCATGATTCGAAATCGCAAAATACAGCTGCAGCCAATTCGAAGAGTCCAATCTGAAAAGGAAAACGAAATGATAAACCACACGAAACACAAAGATAGACAGACGCGCGAGCCACGACCCGCCACGCCCGGGCCGCCTCTGCTCCGACCCGACTTTCCTGCTGCCGGTCATCGCACATTTGGTGGCACTGCGTCCGAGAGGTCCGAGACGAGTAGACGTGCAGTGACACGACCCGCGGCTGGCAAATAGTTTTCGGACACATTCCTAAGAAGTGAGCTGATACAAGGCAGCATCAAAGGAAGAAGGCGAGTATGTGGACGTCGACATATGGAACTGTGGACCCGCGAACGGCTCTTAGAGCGTCGAGTCGGCGGTCGACTGGGGTAAATTGTACCATTTTTCTTGCTTTTAA